CTGTAAGCTGAAGACAGAACAGAACAGAACGGAGCAGAGGGAAGAGAGATAGACGCAGGGTATAACATGGGAGCGAAAAAGACTAAGAGAAAGAAATGAGACAGAAAATAGTTGGGGGTGGGGGGGTGCTCTAACTCCTCCTCTGCCTCCTCTCCTCACACACACACACACACACACACACACACACACACACACATTAAGTCACAGAGTTCAGCGTATGCATTAAGAGATGTAGCAAGTTCTCCTCACATGTGAAATCACTGTTACCTGTTGAAAACCATTTTCTTTGCACAACAACTTTGGTAATTTACCAGCACATCGAAAATGTACAATACAAACACACACACACACACACACACACACACACACACTCAACAGTACATTTCGGATCAGCAGGGGGAAAGAGACCGAGTCAACTGTGAGACCTGAACAAAATTACCATGATTATCCATAACCATAAATAAGCCTGATGATGATGATGGTTTTAACAATAATAATAGCAATTCACCCTGAGTGCTTTTTCAAATAACAGTGACAGCATTAGCCACATCGCCAACAGAAAAATGAAAGGCTCGGTGCCTTGAGAGCTCTTCTTCGCTGCCACTGCTGATGGGGCAAATTGGCAGGCAGAGCGAGCAGACAGGGGTCCTTAAGACGGATGTAAAAATAGTAGGCTGTCGATTTGCCCGTTGTCCTGGCACGGTTCCAAGGAAAACAAAATAACAGGAGTTGAGGAATAACAGGAAAAGGGAGAAGCCGTGGTGAAAGTATGCCCAAGTTCCTGTCACTTAGCACAGGTCACACCTAATGTCACCTTCCTCTGGATGCAGAACGGGAAAGAACAGCCTCTCACAACAATGTCTCCGCCATATGGTCATGTCTTAAAATACTACAGGCCAGCGCAAAATCCATATGATTCCTCTGGCTCTCTCTTTCTCTTCTCACTTAAGTCAATTACGTGTGATGATCCTCTCTGCCGGTGGCAATCTCTGGGTCACCAAAGCCAACATGGGCCCCTCCCAGCTCTCAACACCCCAATGACCCTTGGTACTGCCACTTCACACACACATACACACACACACAATTTTATTTCAACCCTTTCATAACTGCCTGGACCTTGGTGACAGCTGCTGCATTCCTGCCGTGTCAGAGTGTGTGTGAGTGTATGTTTGTGTGTGTGTGTGTGTGTGTGTGTGTGTGTGTGTGTGTGTGTGTTGCTGCCCTGGCCCTGTGCTTATGTCCCCTTCATTAGCCAGTGGCGGGGTGGTGACATCCTGAGCGACTGGCCCTTCAAACACACACTTCCTCTTCACACCGGCGACTTCTCCCCAACTGCAGGAAACTACCCAAAGACAAATAACTAACAGCCATCTTTTGAAAGAAAGGAAGAAAATGAAAGAAGGAAAAACAGAGTGAAGAATGGTGTTCAGTTGCTTAAAGAGCCATCAGCAGAAAAGAAGAAAAACAGCGGTGGGGTAAAAATATATATATATGATCAAACTAAAATAAATCTCTAAATAACACTATAAAAATGTGAAAAAAATATTAAAGAAAAAAACATTATGCATTATTTCTGTGGTCTAATCACATGCCACACACGGCTGCCTCAACTGCCACACTGAACACTACATTTATTTAAAATGAATCAAACCTGAATAAACCTCACATAATCTCCTTAAAGTTACATGTTTCTATTCAGGTTGCAGGTACTTTATTGATTATTTTGCCGAAAGCAACTCGCATAATAACAGTAAACAAAGAACAACAACCTAAATACACATGCCCACACAGGACTAAAAGCAGTCCCTGGGAAAGACTCAGCTATAGTAGATTTCACCACTCAACCATCTGATAAGAACAGAGCAGATGGCTTTGCATTTCTATCGTTCCTCAACACACACACACACACACACACACACACACAGAGAGAGAGAGAGAACGCACAGCATACTGCTCTGCCAGACATATGATAAAGAAAGCCTTTTGACTTCCATGATAGTGTCTCTACGTTATGTATCCTCCCCATTATTCAGGCTTTCACCATGGCGGTGAGGCGGCCGTCTCCTCAGGAAAAACAGGAAACAGCTGACATGGAACCCGTGAGTGATGCTCACATGATGCTTATTGATCGCTGGTTGCCCCGGGTCTCACACACAGAATCAGGGTCGGTACGTAACCATAACACTGGTCCTGCAGGGCATTACTGCGCGGCTACAGAGGTTACTGTATGACCCGCGACACACATGATCATGGCCATGTGAGGGGCGGATTTAAAAAAGATTTATTTCTGTGGGCAAGATCATGCATATAAGATAAAGCTGAGAGTAAAATCTGGTTATTATTTTTACATAAAAGCAAAAGATGGTGAGGCAAAGAAAGGAGAATGGAGGTGTGTGCACGAGGAGTTGTATTGACGGATTTCCTCAGCAGTCTCCGCAAAAGCAAAAGCAAAATAAAATCATGGATATTGATTTTATACGCTTAAACGTAAATGTGTACTGTAGATGCAATAGGAAAATATTCATTAAATGGCATAACGCGGAAACAAATTATACTAATGTATCATCATATTTCAATAAAAATGAATGCTTGGTGATGCAAGAAAAAAACTGATTTAAGAAAGCCAGTAAAAAATGTTGCGGACGTCATATCTCCCTGGTTGGTGCCTGGGTAAATATAGTGGGGACCACAGCATGAATGGGACCTTGTACATCCTCCTACTCCGTCAAACTAGATGGGTTCTTAATAGTGCACACACACATACAGTAAATATACAAGTAGCTGCAGCCACTTTCCCACTCAATTTCTCCCATTGCTGTGCTCTCTCTTGGAGAAATAATGCTGCCTTCAGGAAACACTCACATCATCATTGTTGCATTTGCACAAAGACTGAGCGAGGTGCCTGCTCACTGAAAGCCACAGTGGCCTTTCTCTGCACTGCTCGTGTTATCTAGCAGCCTCTAAACTGGCCAGTAGCATTGCAATAATTGCGTTAAAGAGTGTAAGAGCCAACCACAACTTTGCAGTTAGAGACAGGTGCTATCAGTGGGATTTGTTCTAGTGAAGAAGTAGCTTCAAACGTTCTCCAATCAAGACCACAAAGCTCGTCACTTCCTCTCATTGGAAAAACACTTGGCCTTGTGTCGTATTATAATTGGTAATCCTTCAAACGCATTAAACGTGTGCAACGCCCAAAGTGGTCCTTTGTTACACAGGTTCAATCACGAGCCTACTCTATAAAAACAGTAGCTGCAGAATAAAACAATCCGATTTAGCATGTGGTGGACTGGAGGTGGAGATAGAGATTTGGTAGGAAAGATAAGTCGAGAAGAAGAGAGAGAAAAGTAGGGGTTGAGGTGTGGGGAATAAGAAGAGAAAGGGAAAGCGGGTGAGAGGAGAAGGAGAAGAAGAAGCAGTCAAAGACAGAGACGTAGTAGAAGAAGAAAAAGAAAAAGTAGTAATGGGGGAAGTGGTGCGTGTCTTTTCTGCAAATCTCCTCTTTCACCTCTGCTCTCCTCCAGCTCTCCAGCCAAGGCCAGCCAAGAGACACTTCACCTCGCACCCACACACACATGGAGCCAGAGCCAACACGCAGAAACACACACACTCAATGAGAGAGAGGACACACACACCCACAAAACTGCACACGCTCAGGCTCATGCACACACACAAACACACACACTCACACAACTGGCATATGAGTATTTAGCCACCCACTCAGAAAAATAAATGGCAAAAGCACGGACACAAATGCCTTAACGCACACATGCACATGCATAAACTTCAGTGTCAGAACGCAGACACACATACACACTTGACACCAGATACATGTACGTATAGGCATCCATATGCTCTGTGTGCAACGACCCATCAAAGACAGACATGGAAATAATAACAGTTGAGTGTAACGCACACACACACATTCACTGACTGTGGATAATTCCACACATATGCATCAAATCACTGCCTTCCAGTCCCACACAATGGTAAAAAGCAATGCATATGCACCACATATGCAGCATGCAACACGCTTGTACCCCACAGTGTAAAACAATGTGTGTGCGCACACACACACACACACACACACACACAGTAAGTGTATCAGTGTGTTAATGGGCAGATTAGCGCGTTCTGTGATCTGCACTGAAGAGGATAATATCAACCTCATTTCTTCAGTCAGACAAAACAAAGCAAAGCATGTTATTTCACAAATATGTCTGACATTGTGCCCTGAGAGCTAACAGCGCTCACTTTGCAAGGTTTGACATAGACAGACAGGACTCACTGCATTAACAAAATTTATAAGCTAATAGGCGAAAAATCAACCAATATGATTGTGACAATGATCCAAACAAAATGTTTAAATATGTCACAAAACATGAAAACGCGAGAAAATAGATAGAAAGATGGAAATGGAGGAAATGAAGCTGGACTTTGGAAATTTAGAGAATATATATTTTTTTTAAACTATAGAGCTAACATATTTGTGTTATCAATGCCAAAATGCCTGTATGCTGTTTAACAATTCGATGCAGTATTAAAACCAGGCATTATGAGCTAATCACCGGACAGCAATCCTTTTTTTTAAGGTGGAAAAAAATTTACATTACTGATAAAAAATTTAGAGATATTGATTTTATTACAATCCTTTACTGCTTTTTTGTTCAATAAAAAAAAAAAAAATTCAGGATCTTAAATTTGCAAATGCATGATACAGTATGAGGAAAAAGAAAATGCTGCACACTTTTTCATTTGAAATTGAAAAAAAAGGTACAAAGTGGCAAAATGCATGTGAAATTTAAAGAATGCAAAAACTTTACATTTAAAGAAAATGTATTATTATTATTATTATTATTACTATTATTATTAATATTATTATTATTACAATTCTACATTTATTGCTAATGCATATTTCTAGATTATAAAGCTTTGTATTGATATGTGGATATAAAATGAGCAGGCAGCACTGAGAGCAGACAGAAGCTGTAGTGCCACTGTACCTCTTCCAGGTCTCGGCCCATAGTCGACCTGTCGCACTTCAAAGGAAGCCGCGTTACAGCACCCTTGCAAAAAGAAAAGGAAGAAGCTATTTTAGAGATACTTTTGGATTGAAGACAGACACTGATTTCTTTCTTTCTTTTCCTCCGAGGTCTGCTGTAAGCCTGGGTGGCAGCATCAGATCCTCAGGTGGAGGTTTACGAGCTTTTGTAACCATGAGTTGTTCCCACATTCCTCCGGCTTGGAGCGGAGGGGAAATATAATACATATAGACGCGGCCTACGGCTGCTGCATTGTGGAGGAATTATCCCTGATGAACCAATTAGGCTCGTAGTATCACTTAACTCCGGGCTTTTTAACTTGCAGGGGTCGATATTCATAGCCACGCATGTACAGCAGCGGGTCAATTAAGCCTCCAAATATTATCACTCCGTAATGTCTGGGAAATAATTCAACTCCTAATTAATGTTTGTAATTTTTCCTCCATAAAAACAATTATGAAAGTTCCCTCTTGCTGTGTTTTGCAAAATGTGCAGCGATTTCTGAACATTAGGAAGCTGCGAAAATAGGCAGTATTTATCGAATCCATTTAATTGATTTCATTTAAATTGCATGCTGTTCATGTTGTTTCCTGTTGACACCTGCGTGGATTATGGAGGTTGTGAATCTGCTGTGTACCTAGCAAAAAAAAAAAAAGTTTCTTCAAAGATTAAAAGCCTATTAAGGCCTGTTATGAAAGGTGTAAATTATTCGCTCACAGTCGTGCTTTAATCGCCACTGTTGTTAATTTCGTTAGATCAGAGAAAAACGCAATAATGAAAAACGATTTCACGTAGATCTGTTATCAATATGCAATTTTAACACCACAAACTTAATAAAACATGAGAACAATTATTTAATTCCCCTTTATTTTTTTATTTCTTTCTCCAATTTGTACCAGTATCACCTCTAGCCAAAAATGTGTAGGGGAAGTGTTTCATTGTCTTGAAAACATCTTAGTGAATATGGAAATAAATTCATTTATTCATTCTGAAATAAATCATAATTACAGCCAAAATATAAAATACACGATAAAGAGTTGAACACAGGAGCAAATCAAAAAGGAAATCAATAAATTCCTATTTGACATTTGTTCTCAAATTGACTTCTGTTTTGTTTAAGTCATTTTTTTACGCTGAAGGAGGCAGGTGCTGCTTTTTATGGCTTGCCTGCGCTATTAAACACCGTGTAGAAAATGAAAAAAAAAAAAACACACTCAACATGAGCTCTCCTGATTCATAATTTGATCATTAAAATCTTTTGCTTTAACCTCTTCTTCCATCGCTGACTGATGTTTATGCACCGAGATGATCAGACACCTGCTGTAAACAATGAGCTTATTAATGTCATTTCAAGTGTGGCAGGAAAAAAAAAACTGTATTCATTGAAGTCCTATTTTTTCTAATTTCTAAAGTCTTGCCTTGTGTGTGTGGTTTACAAGGAATGTCAAAGGTGTTGCCTAATGTTTTGGCTTGGTGTTGCCCTGGACCTCTCACCACAGCCGCATCTGTCCTAAACGCACTGCGCAGAGCAGTTTCGGGTCTCTATCGATCAGATGGAAATATAATTTGGCCTAACAACGATAAAATACCGCATCCCTCGTGTCACCCAGTTGATCTTTAAGGGAGAGAGGGAAGATTTTGAAACACAAGCCCATAACGCATTTCTCTCCTCCAACACCCCTGGGTGCGCCAGCCTCGGCAAACACAAAGTCATTATCGGTTAGATTCCAAGAAGGCGAGTCTGTCAAGGAACAGGCTTCCTTCGGAGAATTTATGTCATGCCTACTAAACATGGGAAGATGTCTTCTAAGTGGTGCGAGGAAGGATAAATAACAGCGAGTCCCACAGCTGATTATATTGAAACAACGGTGCGCATTTGTAAAAAGGATTGGGGATGCAAACGTGGGGTCCCAGCAGATGCTGAGAGCAGGGGCCCATCCACCTGCTTCATACCGGGAGAGGAGAGAAGAGGAGCGCTCTCCTCTCTGAATACAATGCACCCGGCTCTCCCAAATCACTTATCAATACTTTGTATGATCGGGGGGGAGAATTTCAGGACAAAGGCTTGTTTAAAAAAAGCAAATAAATATATATATAGCCTATGTGATGCTACATGAGAAGTGCAAAGATGCGATTAATTTCTCCAAAAAAACGAATGTTTGGTAAAGAATAGGCTGAGTGGAATACAGAAAAGGGAGTTTAATTCATTAGGAAACACGTAACAACATCGGAAAGGATGCTTTTGGAAGAGAAAAGTTACATCGGAATATGTTTTAGTCTCTACACATCGGTTTCACCTTCACGATTACACCTTTGGGATTTAAAAAACAAAACAAAACACAAACTCTACGAGCTGTAAATACCGTCAAGGTGACAGAAAACATTTCTCATCATTTACAACATAAAGCCGCGGCGAGGCTGTTGCGCAAGAGCCGCTGTGGCCTGAGTGCGTAACAGCATGTGCATGGTACGGAGAGGAGAGCCTGCAGGTCCCGCTATGATTAACTGCAACCTAACAACCATCCTCTATCTTTACTGTCTCCCCCTCACACACGTGCGCGCGAACGGACGCACACACACACACACACACACACACACACACGCACACACACTTGCACAAAACTCGACTCTCACTCCTCTTCCCTCTCCTTACCTGACATTTATCCGACGAAACCACAAAATCCTCCCCCCCCCCCGCCCCTTTAAAAATAACTCTCTTGTTCTAACTTGGGGAGCTCCTTGATAAGAATAATACAAAAAGAAACTACTAAACAAGAGAGAAATTCAGCGTAACATCCACGGTAATAGGCGAGAAATGTCGGGAGGAAATGTGGGCTTTCCTCAGCCGGTGCAGGCTATCCGTTATCACCATTACTTTTCCAGGCGAGCCTGTGTTCGTTCACGGCTCCTCTGCTGTTCTGCAGCCGCGCAAGGGGCTTCCTGCCTCGGCCACATGAAGTCAATTAGGCGGTCCCAGAGGGGTGCCCCTTCCCGAGTCTTTATCGGCACTGAGGTTACCAAAACACTGCTATTGCTTGCTTTTAAACTCCACACCGCTCACAGACCAATTACGGAGACTTAAGCATGTATGTAACGAATCTGGACATGGGATAATCCATCAAATGGTGAAATAAATGAATTATCTGATATTGTGAATATTTTTCTGCAAAGTGTGTTTTTTTATTTTAAAATAACATAAAATATACTGTTCTGGGTTATTTTTGTAGAGCAGACAATTACTGAATTACTCAAATTAAAAGGGACATTAATGGAAACACTGTCAGGCATGGTGTGTGTAAAACAACAACATAAAGACATACACACAACAACATCAAATCTGATATATTCCAAAAGTGGGGAAAAGTCTCAGAAATGCAATAGCACTTAAGGATTCTTAATTTTAAATATCACAAACAAAACACAACCACCCCAGTACTTCCAGATACACACACACACACACACACTAACACACATAGGTACAAACTCTTTCTTTTTCACACACAGACCAAGAGGTAGTAAGAATCACAATAGCAAAGGTCTGAACATACTCCATGAGAGGAAAAATAAAACTTTGGTCCTTGAATAGACTGCAAATGTGGAAAGAGGGGAAGGGGAGAAGAGAGACAGAGATGGAGAGGACGAGGGCTTTGAGGCTGAGTTGACGTACCTGCTGGGACATTCTGTAGAGAAGGTTGCTGTCAGTGCTCTGCTGCTGCCATGTCCCCATGAAGCCCGGCTGCTCAGCACTAGGCGGTCTGGTGCTGAACTGCATGGAGCTTTCGCCTGCTCCCTCAGCGCTGCTGCTAACGATGCTAATGCCACCCAGACCACTTCTGTTGCTGCTGCTGGTGCTGCTGCTACTGTGGCTACTGGAGGGGATGCTCGTGCAAACGCCAGCGGTGCCGGTGGGTCCGTTAGCCTTAGCTGGAGGTGGCCTGGGCGGCTCCGGGTCTGTGCTGGGCTCTTGTGGGACTGTGTCGCACTCACTGCCTCTCACATCCAACTCTGCCTCCTTGGACTTAGACAGAGAGAGGGAGAGACAGAGAGAGGGAGGGCAGGAGGGATGTGGGAGTGTGAAGGAGGAGAGAAGGGAAAAAAAAGAAAGTCAGTGAAGGTGGGTTCTTTTGGGGTCTTGTTGCTTTTTTTTCATCTCGTGCGGGTCCTGCTTCTCGAGCAGGAGGATAACAGTGAGAGGGGAGTTGAGGGAGTAGATGTGTGTGAGGTTTCTTGGCAGCCCTGGTGGCGGAGGAGTGTGTGTGGAGTTAATTCTCAAGAAGAGAGAGAAAAGAGGGCTCGCAGTGAATCTCCTCAGGGGCCCGTCTTGGACAGGGCAAGATGAGCAGAGCATTGGAGGTGAGGAAGGATGAGGAGAAGGACGGAGGTGAGGAGGGGGCCGATGAGAAGGTGAGCGAGAATGGAGTAAAAGAAGAAAAGAGGGGGGTTATGGGAATTAGCAAGGAGGGGTTGCATGATGTTGCCCGTGGCCTCAGTTTTTGCTTTAATCCATCTGTCAGTCATTTTGTACTTGGACATGGCCTCAACGCAAACACACTAACACGCACACAATGAAACACATGTTTACCCGCATGCATGCACACATTCAGACACGGATATGTAGGACCGTAAGAGAAAAATTAAAAAAGTAAGAAAAAGTTGAACAACCAAGGAACTGCCGTCAGCACACTTTAACACTGAACACATGCACACATTAGGATAAAAAAAAAAAACTATGTAATTCTATAAAATAAAAAAATTCTAATGTAATAAATAAGTCTCAAAGAAATAAAAAAGTACACTACATTCTTAACATAAAAAAAGCAAACAAACAACAAAATGTGAAAATGTAAATAAGCAGTTTCACAGAAAACATGAACATCAAACAAAATCTGTGTTCAAAAATGCAAAAAAAGGAAAAAATGTTTCTAAATATAAAAAAGTCCTGTGAAAAGCACCATATAAAGCAAACAGTTGAGCCAATAAAATTCATGAATGTCTCTTACCATCAATTCTGTGCCTGTCCCAGCAAAGTGAAGATGAGGTGTGGGAGTGAGCCACCGCTATCCAGCTCTCCCTGCCTCCCGCTCCTCTCTCTCTCTCTCTCCCTTATTCTCTCTCTCTCTCTCTCCCTCTCTGTGATTGTGTCCCTCTCTCGACGTCCGTGCCGTGCCGCCTGTCCTCTCTCTTTTTCCTCTCTCCCTGCTTCTCTCTCTTTCTCTCTGACTCCTCTGTACTCAGCTGCAGCCGCTGAGGAACTGAGCTGAGCGCCTGAGTCTCTGTGTGTGTGTGTGTGTGTGTGTGTGTGTGTGCAAGAGCATGTGAGAGCAAGCGAGTGAGAGTGAGAGAGAGACGGTGGCTCTCTGAGTGTCTGTGTGTGTGTAAGAGGAAAGCAAGCCTGTGTGTGTGTGTGTCGGGCCGGTGCAGGCTCAACTGAGTCAACTGTGCCGCTCCACTCTGAGATGTTCAATGACATCGCGCTGCACGCTTCCTCACACACACACACACCCCTCCTCTGTTAGGGGGAGGAAGGTGGGGGCAAGCGCCATCGCAGAGCAGGAGAAGGAGGGAGGGCATTTGTCCCCCCTGCCTTATTACCATTTGCGCTGCGAGACGCCGGCACATCTCAGAGCAACTTAGTTCCCCTGAGGGACCATCCTGCCACACACACAAACATGCACACACACACAGTGCTTAGCAAAAGAGTTTTTACCTTGAAAAAGAAAAGAAAAAACAGCTTGAAGAAAAGCATCACCATTGCAGACTGTTATCAAGTATTTGTTTCTTTGTTTTGAAAAATTGAAAACACAGGATTACATTCAACAGAACGGTTCTTTGATCACAGCTGAAATTGGTTCTATTTCTGATTTGTAGGGCAGCAATATATATATTTTTTTTAAATAAACAAAAATCAATAGAGTTGTTATATCTTTCAAAAATCTGGTGCCTTTGTTTGATTTTCACCCACTCTAATGAAAGACTAATGGAACGCAGGCAATCTGCCACCAGCATATGAACACACACAGAGGTGCACGCACACACACACACACACACACACACACAGGAAACCCCCTCACCTCCCCCCCTGCGGAGGCTCTCAGATTTTAATTAAGAAAAAAATGAGGAAGAGGTTCCATTTTAGCCAAATTGGTCCCCACAGCAGCAAAGGTAAGGGGATAAAATGAGGGATGGAGGAGTAAAGGGAGGCAGACACGGAGAAAAAGACACACAGGAGGATAAAACAAAAAAAAGAGGAAGGAGATCTATGCTTCCTTTGACACAGCGTAGGACACATCTCAAACAATGAAGACATCCCCCCCCCTCCTCTTCCCTTTAAATCTCCCATCTCCTCCCTGTCTTTTCACCCCACCATCATTAGAGAAATGACAGACCAGGTGCCTCAGTCCGCAGCGAGAGGGAGATGTCACTGTGATCTTTCCACCGCCGAGGAACAAAAGAGAAAGGGACAGAGAGAGAACTTCTCTCCGCGGCTACATTAAATGGCTTCTGATATATAAAGTCACTTCAAATTTTGTGGTAAATTGCTGCAGACAGGTGCTTGGTTGGTCTGTTAAAAGCCTCTTGTACGGTCTACTAATGGCAGTATACTCTTAACCTTAGCTGAGATTATTACACTAGTCGTTACCGTTATGTACAAGGGATTTCTGTGCACAGGGAGAAAAGTGTACAGTGTGTGTCTGACCACTTTCAAAGTGTACAATTGTGTCTTTTGTCTCCAGCTCAATTTACATCCACACTTCTTTCTCCTTCTCTGCCTACATCCTAATCCTTTTGCTTTTGTCTCCTGTGATGCTTTTCTCCACTTCTAGATCTCTTTACCTCACTCTGTCTTTCTTTTACTACACTCCCCCCTCCCTCTACTTCTCTTTCTTTTCTTTTCTTCATTTATCTTTTTCATAGTGGCCTGCGCCTTGTCAGAAGCCACAAGCAGCCTTGTCGTAAAAGGCGTAATGTGTCACCTCCTGTCCATGTACCACACGCTCCGCTCTTAACAACTTATTGAAAAGGTAATGCACAAGGCTTGGGCTAATTATATTAAGTGACAATTTAGCGGCCGAGGTTCCTTTTTGCTTTCCAGCTCACGCTTCTCTCTCTCCCTCTCGTCTATAAATGTGCAAGTCTGTGGGTTTGTCGAATGGCACTCAGTGTTTCAAGTCAAGCTGGTGGCTCAGCTTCTGACCTGGCTGGTTAATGGCTGTTATTTGTGGGAGGGAGGAGTGGACTCTGCCAATGTTGCTCACTCTCCCTCCACATCTCTCCCTCTTTCTCCCTCCCCCCCTTTCCCTTCCTTCCCCCTCAGCTCTGCTGATGGTAATGGCCATGATGACAGAGGAAACGAAGAAGAGACACAGAAGTAAAAAGTAAAAAAATACGGAGATGGAGAAATTTAGGAGGGAAGCGGGAAGGAAGAAGGAAATAGAAAGATAAAAAATGCTGGGAAGCAGGTAGGGGCCTCGAAAAAAAGGATGCAGGAGATCCTCAGGCTCCTTTATTAAAACTATTATTGTGCAGGACTTGAGAATTCCCCCCGGGGCAGGGGTCCATGTCGAAGCCCATATAATTAACTAGAGGCTCAGCTACGGATCAATTACCAGACAAGCAAGTGATAGCCGAATCAATGGAAGATCATCAGGCTCGTTATCAGTGTTGCAACTCATTAGAGGAAAAGTGAGGTAGAGAAAGAGGAAAAGAAAAAGGGGATGGGGGAGTGAGGGTGGTCCGGTGAGGCAGGAGGGGAGTGGAGGGTTGGTGGCAGCGTGTTAGCCCAGAGGCTGATGAGTGTGTGTTGGATACTGGTGTGTGATGGGTTGCAGTCCTCCTTAGCTGCCAGTGAGCAGTGACAGGGGGAGCCCTGTATGACAGAGTGCAGCCCGCTCAGTAGCAACAGTCACTGAGGCTTGTATGGATCAATACAAGTGTGTGCATGAGGTTAAAGCTCTGCTATGGCATCCTTATTCCCCAGTGACTCACACGCTCAGTCTGGGGTACAATCCTACAACCCAAGCAGTCAGAAAGGGATTGACAAGATTGAAGAGTTACAGAGCAAAGCCTACATTTTCAGAGTCAAAATTGTAGGAATATGTTACCCCAAAAATGTAACCCCCCATTCCTAAAAAGGTGATGAAAGCTGCATTGTATGTCATTTTAAGAGATAGAAACTGAAATTATAATTGAGTTGATTTGATTCTGTCATAAAACACACACACAATCCAAATATTCCCAAGGCAAAAAACAAAAACAATGAATCAGATACAGATACAATCCAATATGGGATCCAGAAATGCAAAGACAACAAATATAAGATAGAATAACATTTTAAAAACTATAACACAGAACACTGAAGCAAACTCAATTTGTTCAGTTGATCAACAAATATTTTTAATAATGGACAAAAAAGTGTGCAAAAATTGTACAAGGTAATTGAGAGCCATCCTGCAGCACTATCCAGTGTCCAGTCTTCTGCTTGCTACATCCCAAATCTTTGTGAAAATGCCTACAATGTATTAAATAATCAAAAATGATCACTTCTGCGGTGACTTGAGATTTGAATCATTCCACACACATTGAGGGTTTTTTTCTTTTCTGTTTTTACAAAAAATGAATTGGGGTTTTTTTTTTCAATTGATGTTATTAAAAGAATATATTCTTTGTGAAAGAATGTAGTATAAACATTTTTCATCATTAATTTGGGGAAACATGAGCTCAGTAATTATAAAAAATATGAGTTTTTGAGTAAGCCCTGTCTTCCTTTCATATTTTGGTTATTTCCTGAACAATGCATAACCTTGAGTAAATATAAAATCTCGATCGATACACTTAGGCCAACAGAGTGAATTTATCAAATAATTTTTTTTAGATGTACTTTGGTACCACTATCCATTACATCAACACATTAACTGTTATACCTATTCAGTTTGTATTCTCCTGTTGTAACTGTTTTTATTTTCAAGAATTTTGTATGCTGCTGTTTATTAGACAGAAAATCACAGGAATAAGACAGGGCAGCAAGCTTAACTTAATTTAGATACAATACAATACAATTAGTTCTGTGTACTGTATGCAGTATGGCAGTGGAACTTGTTCTATGTGTATCAGGCTACTGTATAAAACTTTGAATTTTAATTCTTAACTCTATACATTATACCACTTACAATGGCATGTAATACTGCAATATATTCATTGTTCTGTGATTGGTGTGAAGAGATGTAACATGCTTTAAGTATGGTATAGTATATGATTCCAACTAGTCACAAGTTGTAATTAGAAATACAGATTAATTGTTTTTTAAAAAAAGTATTGAATGCATATAGAGCATGTCAGGTAAAACAGAGTAAACCAAGTGCACAGAGTAAAAGTGAGACCTAAAACATTCTTGACATCTTGGTGCACTTTCTGTCCTTGTACCATAAGCTAGGTGTGTTTCAGAAGGCACCCTCCATCACTAAGCCCACATTATTATACCCATCAAAACTCTTAGCACTGTCTGTTTGTTTCCCAAACATTGACATTTAATGGGTCAAATAGACCAGAAATTGGGTGCGACAGCGCTGGGTTGTTAGAACAGTCTCAAGAGAACAAATTCTCCTTTCTGCACTGTTAAGTCTTGAGAGGATAAAGTACTGTACCTTGCTTTTCATTTTCTATGCAAAGTGAGAAATCTGTTCAAGCCAACAACAGTGAGTATGAAACAGATGCAGAGGTCATCAAAAACTCATAATTACGCTGGTCTTTTGTGTTATTTTTCTGTGTTTTGTTTTGTTTTTTGTTCTTTGGAGGAAAGATAATTTTTCATGGAATGAAATCACAAGTGAGCAAAACTCAAATTGGCCTTTTACACACTAAAACAAGGGCAAATGGAAGGACAGAAGCAGAGGGCAGAGAGAGAGGAAAGTGGAACAACATAATTTGCGCAGTGATGGTGATTATCTGCCGCAGTAACAAATGGTTAAGGCCAGTAGAAAAAGGTTGATGAGTGTCTCTTTGCTGGGGAGAATGAGTCTCAAACACACAAAGAGAACACTGGTTCACTTCAGGGTGCTACACAAGTTCATCCTCTCAGCTGTTTTGTAATCCAAACTTCTTTCCATATTAAAAGCTCAGATTTTTTTGGCCATCTGAGGTCAAATTATTCAGAATAAACAGACCAAAATAATAATAATCACGGTTTAACACTGGTGGGAAGTGGCATTTCCAAAAGAGTGAGTGCAGCCTTTGTACAGTATACTAGAGACATAAGCAGGAGCACATGGCTGAGGGCTGGTACTGTCGGTGACCTGATTTGTGGACATACAAGGATGCTCACACACACTCAAACAGGCAGTGTGTGTGCATGTGACAAGGAATGGCGTGTCGATCAGATGGCACAGGGATAGAACTGTCACTGTTCTGCTACCACTACGGGGCCACAAGACATCATATGACACCGACAGGA